TGCATCTTTATATGATCTATCCTAGCTTCGGAATTTCTAGTGATTAGCCGGAAGTTTCATATTATGTCTTTAATTTCTTTGATTAAAATACATTATATATTATTATTTTACTTTTATTGGGTGGACATAATCAAGCGTACTGAGTAGTTATTCAAAAATATAAAACGAGTAAAGTATTTACGGTATCATAATAATATTATCGATTTATGAATTTACGCGTCTACTAAAGACGTATAAAAAGACAACATGGATTTACTTAACCACTCAAAACGACACGCCATAAACCATATAATGAGTCGGTGCAAAGGGAGGACCATGGTCAAGCAGGAACCACTACCCGGTCGCAATTTAAACCAATGCAGCGAAGTACCCCAACAATCAATGTGGAGATTTGCACTGGATAATGACACATAATTCCACACATTCCATTGACAGTCTCTTTTTCTTTTCTTAGTAGGTAGTGTTGACTTGTTGACTTTCAAGACCCACCCTAGAAGCGCAGTAAGTAATCAAGTTTCACTGAAGTCTAGGGTTTCTAATTCCATTGGCTAGTTTCAAGCCTTAATTGGAAGCCCTTTTATGGGTTGTTGAGTCTAGGGGGAATTTTTCAGGTGTAAGAGAGTGTTTACAGGAATATGCTGAAAATTAGGTTCTTTCAACAATCTTTCGGAAAATGGTTCTAATTGTTGACAGCTAGAGGAGAAATCCTAATAAAATTACCAAATCTTATCACTGATTCTTGGATCAAGGTTTTCTTCTAAACCTTAAGAGAATAGAACCAAAGCACCAGAAGATATGGATCTTTAGATTTGTGTCATCAATACCAAACCTACTAAAAATAATGCAGAATCAGAAACATGTGCAACAAACAAAAAGTGAGAATAGCGCGTCTAGCCGGCCGTATTCTCATGACAAGGTTTATCAAGCAGAAGAATAGACAAAGCAGGAGAAATGTCGACACCGGACCTACAATTCCACACTGGTAGCTAACTTCTAACAAATGTAAACGGGGGTTATATAATCATCTAAAAGAATAGGTCGAAAAAACAACATAGTTTAGAGGATGTATCCGTATATAAAGATTCAAACATACTGGTGCTGACAGAACAATATTACGGGTATAACCAAATGGAAATAGTCTCATCAAGACATGGTCTAAAAGACTTATCTATCTTAGGGAAAGGCTCTCTTACCAAGATTTGTCGATTTCAATCTAAAGGTGGGAATCTGTCATAAATGAACAGATTACCCAGTTTCTATGCTCCCGAGGAAATCAGAAATTATAACAGCGTATATTTTGATGGACATTTAATAGATATCAACCATGAATTAGTATTCGAAGTACAGATCCAACAGTAAGTACTGAAAGAAATAAAAAAAAAAAAAAAAAATATCCTTCAACAGGTCTAATGTAGTACGAAGTTACTTTGGTCACCTTTCCCTGTGAGTGAGCTTTTCATTTATACTGCATTAAGTTGTGTTACCTGGCTCAGTGTGATCGCTGAAGTGTTCAGTAGCTGCAAAGACTGATGATACCGGTTCAGGTCAGGCCATCACATTCTACTACCCGTGCCGCAAGATTCCTGAAACAGAAGGGCAAGTTGTACATATTAACATAACTATGAACTGGGTGAGCTAGACAATGTGCAAGCCTTCAACCCAATAGTAACAATCCCTTACCTCATTGTCAAGCTGAAATGGAGTTCACCATAAACTGATAGATGGACCAACATCGAAACTAAGGTCCCTCAGGTGCTGGGTGTTGATCTTAAGTGGCACTTCCTCGCAATTATGGCATGGGCTGTCTCCACGGAATACTCTTGTTAACCTGGAGGAAACAAGAAAATTTATCTTTGATGTGTAAGATATTCAGTAATAAAATATCAATTTGAAAAGCCATACATGGGCCAATCATCCAAGTCTGCATATCAGCAAACCAATATAATTATATAGAACCGTACTGACTATTCCAATAGTTAATCAATCTCACTTAGCTATTAAATCATAATAATTCGACAAATATACCCTTAGAATGAGAGTATTATCATGCTTTAAAAATACTCGCTGTGACACATAATTATAGTATACCAGCTAAGATCATACTGGTTTTGTTGACATCCATGTTGACATGTTACTAATGGTTTTGTTTTTCAACGATATATCTCACTTAAGTCTTAATTCATGCAATCTTCAATGCATATAGAAACGATGAGATGAGGAAGGGTATATAAAATCATTTGTTGCACGATGGCAGACGGTTCCCTGTGCAAAAGGAAACTTGATTGGAAAATAAATGGTTTTGTTGGCATCCATGTTGCAATAACTGAAAAACTAGTTCGAACATCTCATACCTTGAAATTGCAAACCTCTGATTCAATGTCTGGTACAACTGCAAGGATTACCATGAGAGTAGTCTAAATCATTACAGGACCGAATAAAGAATTCTGAATAAAGGAAGTTGTTGTATAAAATGGCGTTTGTGACATCAGATTAAAAGTTACTAATACTAGAGAAAATTGCATTTCAACAAGTTGCTTTGACATGTTAACGTCCAAAACAACTAATGTGATCAAGAAATAATTATCCAGAACACAAACATCGGGCATCAGCACTCTGAAATGTACCGGTGTTTGCACCGTCTTCATAATGCGACAGAGATAAACAATCAAAATTTCTGATATTTGACTGACATAAATTCTTACTCGGTGCCAAATCACAACTTTCCACCAGAAGGCCCTTGTATGCCCGTCTTTAAACATCAACCCTACTACACTATTGCTGTTATTATCACCAGACTGATACCACCAACTATCTCCACCCTTATCACACCTCATTTCATCCCCAAAACATGACCACACTACACTTGCTCCATCATCAACTGGTCCAGTGCAACTTGCTTTTTAGCTCAATTACATTACCACAACTCAAATCCAAAACAGAAAAATAAATGTAAAAATACTAATAGAACTCTAAAATCACAACAAACCAGGAATCCTAATGAGCAATCTAGAACTATAAGAGGATCTTATTCATTTTTTTTTCCTGATACATAGAAATCCCTCAACCTTTCCCTGCATGTCCACCAAGTTCTTATCTGGGTTTCTAACAGAACTCAACAACCTTAATAGTTAGAAATTTGGACACTATAAACATCCCATCAGGCACCTTCAAGGGATTTGCACCCTTGACTTATCAGTTGAACCAAGGGCTTTTACACCAATGTCCAACCCTTGGGTTAGGAGAACTTAGTCAGTCTGCTAGTGTTATTCAAAACGTAATATTGAAACAAAAGAGCACAGGTAAAAATAACAGATTATTTATAATAGAGGGGTACTAATTCTTGAAGGGGAGAAGTCTTACTTCCCAGTAACTCTTAGCGAAGCTCCTCCTCAAAGAATTGAGACGATGGGTTTAACTCTGGTAAGTAACCTCGCCCCAGATTTTATTGCCGAGGATGCATCAAAACTGCCACCAACTCACTCAAAAGCGCCAGCAAGCTACACTCCACACACAACAAACTAACCTGAGATATCATTAGTATCAATCAGAAAAAACAGCCCAAGATACATCTTATCATAGACAAAGCGAAACAACTGTTTTAACTTTTTTCCCCTCCTTTGATAACCCAAATTACCCAAACTCTCAGTCATGTCAAATTCAAAACTCAAACCACCAAAGCTTAAACTCCAAAACTCCTAGCATTTCACCAAATACAACGGTATAAACTACTAAAGCTGAGTTATTCTCCATTTGCCATGATAAATTCCTTATGTAAATCACTGTACAGAGCATCTAAACAGACCGCACTGACTGGACCTAATAAAAGTACTAGTACTTCTACTACTTCCAATAAATCTTGCAAAATGAATCAAACAAACATAGTGCATGAAAACAACACATTAGCATCAAAACCACTAATAAAGATAACTCTTTCATTACTCTTTCCACCCAACAACAAAATTGTTCAGAATTTACACATTATGCACGAAAATTCATAGTCCAAATTTTACCCAGATAAAAATAAAACCAACTAAAACAAGTTTTTTTGACGCATACAATTCACAACACCTTATACAGTTACACGAAATCAAAGTTGAATAATAACAAGATCAGAAACCACTCTAAGAAAGATAAACCTCTTCATTACTTCTTCTTTCTCACCAACAACAAAAATGGATCGAATTTAACGCCTCAGCTACCAGATATACTAATCAAACTAATCAAAAACTGCACTACAAGTCAAAGTACCATAAAATCACGTAACAGAGCGTTATAATGGATCGACAATGACTTTATATAGACGGAAGTTTCATATTATTCCTTCTAATTTCTTTGATAAAATACAATTATGTATTATTTATTCATGGGTAGGACATAATCAATGAGTATGAGTAAGTTATTCAAGACAATAAAAAAGAGTGTAAAACGTATTTACAGTATCATTGCCAAATCCTTTGGAAATGTCTCTAATTGTTGACCCTAGATGAGAAAATCCTATATAAAATTACCAAATCTAATCTATTGGATTCTTGGATCAAAGGTTTGTCATTTAAACACTTAAGAGAATCAGAACCAAAGCTAAAAGATATGGATCTTAAGATATGGAACTAAAATAATAATGCAGAATCAGAAACATGTGCAACAGCAAACAACCTGATACAGATATGCCATTCTAGCCGGCCATATTCTAACATGACAAAATTATCAAACAGAAGAATCAAAGCAGGAGAAATGTCGACACCGGACACTACAATTCCAACCTGGTAGCTAACTTCTAACAAATGTATATCACGGTGGTTATATAATCATCAAGAAAGAATTGGTTGAAAACAACAATTAGTTTAGTAGGATGCATCCGTGTATAATATATAAATACTACAGGTGCTGACTGAACAATATTACTGGTGTATAACCAAATAGGAATAGTCCATCAAGCACATGGTCTAAAAGATGCTTATTGACTATCTGGGGAAAGGCTCTCTTAACAAGATTTGTCGATATTCAATCTTAAAGGTGGGAATCTGTCATAAATGAACAGATTACCCAGTTTCTATGCTCCAGAGGAAATCAGAAATTATAACAGCGTATATTTTGATGGACATTTAATAGATATCAACCATGAATTAAGTATTCGAAGTACAGATCCAACAGTTAAGTACTGAAAGAATTAAAAAAAAAAAAAAAAATCATCCGTTTTCAACAGGTCTACATGTAGGTACGAAGTTACTTTGGTACCTTTCCCTGTGAGTGAGCCTTTTCAATATTATAACTGCATTAAGTTGTTGTACCGCTCATGTGATCGCTTGAAAGTGTCTCAGTAGCTGCAAAGACTGATGATACAGGTTCAGGTCAAGGCCATCAACATTCCTACCTACCCGTGCCCGCAAGATTGCCTGAAACTAGAAGGGCAAGTTGATACATATTAACATAACTATGATACATGGGAGTGAGCTAGACACAATGTGCAAGCCTTCAACCCAATAGTAACAATCCCTTACCTCATTGTCAAGCTGAATATGGAGTTCACCAATAAACTGATAGATGGACCCAACTCGAAAACTAAGGTCCCTCAGGTGCTGGGTGTTGATCTTTAAGATGGCACTTCCATCAGCAATTATGGCTATGGCTGTCTCCACGGAATACTCTTGTAACCTGGAGGAAAACAAGAAATATTTATCTTTGAT